ACTTCGAATGTTTGCACATGCAAAATTTATGGTTGCATGTGATTTGTCAATGTTGTAGGTGAATGCCACCTCATGAGGACATGAAATCATAAATTTGAGCCTTATAGGGGTCTTTTTTTTATAGATTAGGGTCTTGTTTGATATTAAAGAAATATGTGGTATGTAATAGTTAGTTTAATGAGTTTCTCTGTAGAAGTAACTTATGGTTGATGATTTTTTAATTTTTCGTTGTGTTTGAAATTATATTGAGAATTTTGGGATTTTGGAGTGTGTTGAATGTGGTTCGGGGTGGCTGCTCCCTCGCTTGCCCCTATCCTCCTTTTGATGCTGTGGTGTTAATTACTTTGTGATTGACTTACTCTTTTGGGTGATGGTTAGAAATGATAATTCACCCTACGGATAAGGAACCTGTTTTAAATGACCTTATACACTTATATTAACTTAGCATGATTGGTGAATGAATTGAAACAAGCGAGATGCTAAGAGTTAATGGTGGTCTTGTTATTATTGTCTTGTGTGTTTTAGTGCTTAACATGGATTGACAAAACTGAATTTAAAGAAAGACATTAAATGATTAAGTTAGTTTTGTTTGAAGTATAATGGTGGGTGAGTTCTATAATTTTTTTCATGGAAAAATATGGTGTTCAAAGTGTATTGAAGAGATTTGGGGGAATACCATCGTGAATCTAACTCACAGACTAGACATATAGGAAGCTTCAAATGAAAAAGGGTCTATATAAAAATGAGGATACTTGGAAAGTTAGTGGAGTAATCCTGTTATAACTTGATTTAGGGCACTAGTCTATTTGTTTGAAACATCAATGACCATTACGAGCAAAATAGATGAAGAATTTCATATCCATTCATATACTAATCTTTCCCGTCCGGAAGACAGATCATTTCACAACATGATTATTCTAAATATTTATAGTATAATTTGTTTCAAATCAATTCTTTTAATTTATTTCTTTATATTTATGTTTGACATTTTAAATTCTTTCCCAACCTATTTTACTTTGTTTTACCTTTTTTTCTCTATTATTTTAAATGCATTAGTTCACTGTGTTTGTGTTGATATATTGTTTTTGTTCTTTATCTATAATGATAGTACATTAATATATATGTGAGCAATGGTAAGCGCTGATGGGCTAATAGCTTAATCATGACTTTGAAGAATAATACATATTAGTTAATTTAAAATTGTTTCTAGGCTTTTGGGATTGAATTAACCTAGACAAAACTGTCTTCTAGAAAACTAGTAATTTATGATTATTGATTTGTAATGATCTTAATTGATCTTGTTGAATTATATATCTTTATAAGACTTATCACGTACTAATTATATGTAGGTAGTGAATTTTAAGGTTGTTATCCCTTCTATTTCATGTTTTTATACATTTTGATATTTTTGAATTAACGGTTAGCATATTAATTTTAAGAGTGTCACATTTCAGTATACCTATAAATATCTTACTATAATAATGATTAAATATTAACAATATTAAAATTCAAGAATAATACAATTGGTTGTTAGGATAAATTGCATATTTATTAAATTTTTAGTTATTCAAAATATTAAAAAAATTAAATGTTAATACTATTATATGGACCAATTTCGGAGATATTAAAAATTTATTTAGCCCTATATTTTATTTATTAAAAATTTACATTATTTTGTTTAAAACTACTTTTAAATACACAAATGAGCTACAATAAATAAGTGAAACGTTTACAAAAAAATTATTTTTCTTTAAATTGAATAACTAATCAATAATTATACATATTTGCAGCAAGGTAAATACCCTTAAATCAAAAGTGCTTTAAAATACATAGTTAAAAAAACATGAATAATTACAAGATTTTTTAACAGAATAATTAGTTAAAAAAAATTAGGGAAGACTGAACTAAAATGTAAGTTCCCGTACTTTTCATTCTTTTAGTAATGTGAACCATATATGAATGTTATATTTTTTATTTATCACTAATAAAAAGGTGCATCATTGTTGTTTGATAACTCTGACACATATCTCTTAACATATCTGATAGTATTTCTTATATGCTTTGATACATGCGTTTGTCGTTATATGTTATTAATTATACTGCCAAACATTTATGCCTCTTAGTAGTTCTATATGTTGGACATTACTCACACGTTATCAGAGTAAATAATCTTACTTAATTAAGCAAAATTTTTTTCATTAAAAATTAACAGGAATCTATGTTTATATCTGCTAAACAATAGTTCTCATTTTTATAAGACTGTTAGTTTTAAACATTAATATCTCTATATCTATATATATATCTATTATATATTTTTAAAATTAACATTAGTTGGTCATATAAGAAAATACAAAATGGTTTAACCTCATAATGGCGTTAATACTAATAAGGTTCAAGGTTAATTTGATGTTTTAATCAACCACACTTCAACTTTTTATAAACTAAACTTATTTGTTCTATAAGAAATACAAGATTATTCGTGTAAAATTGAAATTTAATATACAACACGTCAGTTTTATCTTATGTCCTTTATTAATGACATCCAAATTTTGATAAACACCAATCAATGGTATACTCCACTAATATATAATATACTAGTATAAAAAAAAAAAAAATAAAAAAAATAAAAACAAAAACAATCGGGGGGGGGGGGGGGGGGGGAGGGGGGGTGGTAGGGGGGGGAAAAAAAGCAAAAGAAAAAAAAAAATAAAAAAGAAGAAGTTATAATAATAAAATAACTAGAAGGTAATAAAACCGTTAAATAATGCTAAAAGGCGTTATACAATTCTAAAAGCGCTAAATGATATGGACATGTTAGGCGACAAGCAAACTCTAAACGCAAATAATGTACAATAGTTGAAGTTTACAAGTTTGTAGCACAATACACATGTAACATTAAACATTGCTTATATCTACGAGTTGAAAAAAAAAAAGCTTTTCAACACACTTTGACACATGTACCACTAATAATATGAGAATACTAAACAAAATTATTAGAAAAAATAGAACTACAATAACTATAGAGGAGAACTAACAATAACCAACGTATAAACAAAAATTTCAAGAATTAAAGATACTAAAACAAGTCAATTTGAATTATTTAAGTTTGGTTTCATGTTAGTTCATAAAAAATGGATTGGGTCGGATTAATCTACCAATTCAAAATAGACTGAACTTTCCAATTCCGTCATCTAAGCTTTCAGATTGACCTGCTTGTTTTTTTTATTATCGAAAATCTAATATCACATGAATGATTGATATTTTTTTACATGAAAGCAAGCTGAAGCTGGATTGAAAAGGGTTTAAAAAGTCTATTGTTTAGGTTATTTTGACTAAGCTTATTAAATCTTGCTTAGATCGGCATATTGTGTTAATGAAGTTGAGCTATGTTAATATGAATTGTACAACATGAGTTTTATTTTATTTTCTTAATAAGACTAACTAGTCGGACTGACTTAACTTGCATGTTGGCCTGTCGAACTTGGCGACTAAGTTAATTTGAACTCTGAGTTTAAAAACGTTGTCTTAACCCTGGACTTGTCCCTTTTTGTCATCTATAAAGAACACAACCTACAACTATTGTTTTATCCACATCTACAAAAGGAATATTTATTGTGTAGAAAAGGCTAAGGATAAAAGTACAAGTTTTTGGCTTTTTGTGTGCATTGTAAGATGGCTTTAAATTCTTAGGATATAGATCATCTACTAGACAACTTAAAAGATATCTTTTGTTATTATAATTTGATTTCATTGTATTGTAATTCAGGTACAATGTTCGGATCAATATTTTATATTAATCCAAAATAATTTAAGTTAATTGAAAAAAAAATCCTAAATTAATAGATCTAGTTAAAATAGATTTGAATTATAAACCCCATCATTTTTATTTTTGCTAGATAAATTTTAAATTTGATTTTGAAAAATTCAAGCTATGTATGTATACCCTTACATTACTAAAATGAATCCTAAAAATTTCCAAAAAAACAAAGAACTTCAAAATTCCTATGAAACAAACGATTTAAGTTATTATTCTAATTTATTGTAAACAACCCTTCAATATAAAAAGGACGAGTCACAGAAAGGAACAATCAACGCGGGATATCTAGGATTCCTCTAATGACATTTTAAAAGGAAAAGAAAACAGAAAGTGTAACTTGTCTAACTAACAACAATTATATTTATGATTCGAACAAACAAGTACTTGTAAGTCCTAGTGCTGAGTTTAACAAAAGTCTAAGTCATTTTTCTACCAACTATTACAATTTGTTATTTATACGATATTTCTCTCTCATTATTTTATATTAATTATATGTGATAATATCAGGGAATACTGATTTGTATTTATTGATCCTCAATTTCATTATACAATTCAGTTGCATCATGATCTCTTTCTGTGATTTCATGCCCTTCTGGTTTACTACAGCTCTTTGAACCTTTTGTCCTTGATTTTGGTCTGTTTTCGCGCTTTGGAACCAAAATGCAAACTCAGACGGGTTGAATAAATACTATATCCTGCATCGTTCACACTCACTTATTAGTCAAATTGCAAATGTTGAAAAAAGCATAAGAAATTAAATTTCCCCATTTGAATATAAATGTGAAATGCTATGGACATCACACTCACCCTTGGAAGAATTGTTCCTAAGAAATGATATTTGCTTTCGGTTGCAGATAAGATTATAGTCTCTGAAGGGAGTTCAACTTTTGCACACTGCATCAAGATGTTTAGTTAAAATGGTTCTTATATGCTAAACACACATGAAAATGATTTTCTTATGTAAAATTTAACATTAGAATCGATTCCTATATGACTCACCAATTTCTTTTTGCTCAGATGCTCGTACACGTCAAGGTTGTTGAATTCAGTTATGTGAAAGAACACATAATCAATTGCTCCGCCACAAATCCTAAGTTTAAACGTTATTAAAATATGCATAAGATTCCCTTAATAGAAAATGAAATGTAAATTAGAAATACGGTAATAACTTCATGTCATAAAATTACTTCAGTGTATAGTTCACAGTCTTTGTGGGTAAGAAGGAGACGATCCTCAGGGTACTCCTCCAATCAGCAGCAAGCCTTCAATTACAAAACAAAAATCAATAGGACTCACAAGGGCTAAAATCAACTTTTGTTTTTATGTTTTGTTTGAGATGATTCATTTTCTTTACATGATCCGTAATGTATATATTAAATGTTCATGACTCTGTATGCGATTGAGACTTAGTGAACATTAATGGTGCAGTCTTTACACCCTTTCTTAATATGGTATTTTAGTTCTTCTACAATGAAGATGCATTTTACAATTTGTTAATGCATCTGACTGGAAGTCTTCTTTCAATAAATTGAGTTTAAACATCTTTTTTCCCTTAAAATTTCACTAGTGATTATTTTCGCAAGTGAAAACAGGAGAATTGTAAATCCACTTACGTGACAGGTGATGTTGGTTTCCTCACTGCCTGTTTCACACGGAAAAAACAGGAGAAAACTCAGCTACGTTGTACTGTTTTTTTCATAACTGTTACAGTAAAACAGGAACAGAAGCTTCTTCTGATAAATCGAAAATCTGACATGCGTAGAAAAATGAAGTATATCGTACCTTTGCCACATTAAGGGATTCACGATTCGAGTAGATTTTTCCAATCAAACATCCCTGGATGCACAAAAAATTTATTCATTGTAAAAACATCTCTATAAAGTATAACCAAGATTACCAAATTTAATATTAAAATATTTTTATCACTATTTACACTGTCTTTTACTTCCTCGGATATTTAATGGCCATAAATTGTGCACATACTATATATTAGACCAACTCAACAAAATCCAAAATTAATTTATCTGTGTAGTGAAGGACATCACAAACATGTTTCTTCAATGCTAAACTATAAATAATCATTTAACGTATGAAATTTACTGAACAACTATGTTCAATCAAATATTCACAGACACACAACATTTTGAAGATACACATCCTGCATATACTTTACATAGGATAAATTCTTCAAAGGTTAATGAACTATAAGAGAAAATAATATAAAATTAAGATTAAAGTGACATGTGTATGCAGTTAAACTAGTCTATACAAAGAACAAGCATATATATATATATATATATATATATATATCTATATAGCATTGAAGCAAGGTTTTTAAAATGATGATAGTGTTAGTTTACCTGCCATGCACACACGAAGCTATGAAAATCGGTGAGAGATGGTGGAGGAGGGGAAACAAGTCCCTGATTAAATCGATGCTTCATTGCAGGCGTACCTCGTATAGTGATTCCAATCGCTTGGAACTGAAGGGGCTTTGGAAATGGTTGGTGAATGCTGCTGCTACTACTACCACAAGTAAGCATTGGGAAGCTTGGTGATTGAAATTGATTCATTGAGTTTCCTGCTGTATCAGGGAACATCATATTACCAAATCCAACTGTGGTGTTATTCATTCCACTTGGCTGATTCCATGCATTTGGGTTGCTTTGAGGAAATGAAAAACTGGAATTTGAACAGTTTTCTGATGCAAATGGCACAGTTGGAGTTGCGTCTTTTGTGACACTGTGTGATGGAGTGTCTGCCACCATTTCTCTCAATTCTCCTTCTTCCATCTCTTTAAGAACTCCTAGTAAAACATCATCTAGAGGATTTGACTCATTATTTGGTTGTAAAAGACCATCGAAAACATCCTCTCCCAGTGGGAAAATATCATCCTCATTGCATAGCTGTTGAAGAAAATCATCAAACATCTCATCTGTTGTTGCTTGTGGTGGAACTACAGGGGATTCATTGTTTGCATTCTCCTGAACGCATCAAGTGCGTGAAAAATACATAAACTCACTCAGACAGAAGCAAAACTGTAACAGTTTCAATTCCTTGAAACTGAAAGGTGAATAACGGCTCCAATTAAATTATTCTACCAAATAAACCTTTTTGAACAAGTAACACTTACGTGTCCAGCATTTTGAACACCCTCCCTGGTGTTTTCTCCGATGGTCATGCTAGCCTTGCAGAGAATAGGTCTTCTAAAATCATTAAAACCAGAGAGAAAAGATGAACAACAGAGAAATTTCATAGGCTATAACATCCAATCTTTTAAACATAAAATCAGCATTTATTATTTCTCATTACCCTCTTTCTTCTTATCAATACAACACTTGAAAAACCATTTCCTTCTCTTTATATGTCAATTGGTATTTTTGATTTCTATATATCTTTTCCCATTTCGAAACAGGAGAACCAGAAATATAAAACAAAAATCCACAATATTCCAAAACTAATGAATCAAATAGAAAAAAAAAAAAAGAAAAAAAGATGCCACAACTGTTTTCCCCTGCCCCTTTTAGCTATATTTCAATAAATAAATTTCTCCATCAAGGGCAACTAAGATGTCTCACCAGTGATCATAAGAAAATGATAAACACAAAGTTAAAGAGAAAGAGAACCTTGATGATTGTTAATGAAAATTATGGCAAATGTAGTTGTTGTATTGCACTACAATTCAGCTTCAGGGTGAATGAATATCCATATGCTTCCCTTTTCTATACTAAAAGAATTGTGTGCTTCCCTTAACCTTTATACACATTACTCTTGCTTCGGAGGAAACTTGTGGGAAATATTTGTCACCATTTTGTTATTAATAATAACCTCATTAATACTCATTCCCGTAAATGACACGAAACTCAAACAAATTTAACAGATATTACCTCTTTTTATACTATATACATATAATATTTTAATCAAAATAATATTATTTTTTTTAAAAATACAGGATAATAAATTTATGACATTTTTTTATTTATACTTTTTCATTTTTATCATGAGAACCGAAGACACATGGGCTTGAATATCTAGAAAGGTGCTTTTCCCTTTTCCTATTCTTCGAGATGTTTTTCGGAAGTGATTCCTTTGAAAAGTTACTTACTTTACGGATTCGGATGCTTTTCTTCAACTCAACTTTGTTCAAATATATTTCATCTCGATTTTCTCTCTGCATTCTGGCTGAGTATTGCATAGATGAGAAACAGTTAGAAAACACACAGAGACCAGAAATTAAAAGGTGAGTATTAAATACAGATGAAACATAATGCAGGTGTGGAGAGAGATTATATCTTTATATGTGACTGATATGAAGTAATAGTACTAATATACTACCTATGTTTATATAAGTTTTTATGTACAGTGTCTTTTTTTTATTATGAATCACAAAAATTAATGATTAATGAATAATAAATCCCTTAGCATTAGCATGGATCGTTTTTATTTATTTTTAGAATAGAAAAATGGAAGTGTATAGAAAATATTAGATATTGAAATGATTAATAAAATAATCTAGATTGGTTTCGAAGAAAAAAGAAACAAAACTGTTGAACGTGTTCATAAATGATAATCATGAGTCTTTTATATAATTTTTATCAATTACTTTTTTTTTAAGTTTCAATATTTTAAGTTAGTCTCTAAACAAATTAAAATATTATTTATAATCTCTACACATAATCTTTTAATATATATATATATATATATATATATATATATCTCTTTAGTCACATTTACTTAATTAAATTACTTTATTATTAACTAATAAAATATAAAAATCCTATTTGTTATATATATATATAATAACCTAAATTACTAACATTTTTTTATACAATTTTATTAAAATAGCTTATTCTTAGTAAATATAGTATATTCTTTTCCATTAAGTATGAAATCATTATAAGATTTAATTTCAGTTAAGAGTTGAATTTATTAACGGGTAAAACTATATTAATTGCAAAACTTCGCAACAGAAAAAGGCATCAAAGTACTGCCTTGAAAGAATTTATTTTAGATGATACTTTTGAGAGAAAAATATTTGTAATATTACTCAACATAAAGTTCACAAATTAACATCATTTTAAAAATATGTAAATTCATTAATATATATATATATATATAAGGTTTGCCTAACGCATACGCATGTTTTTCAGTTGGGTCACATGTTAGCCAGTGTAACCAGGGTTTTAGTAGACAAAAATATCCTTATTACCATGGATTCTAAGTTTTACAGGTTGAGAGTATTTTTTAATAATTTTCTTCTCAAAACTAAACAAAAAACGAAACCCCCAAACCCTTTACACAAACCCTCACCTCTCTCATTTCCCTCTCAGACCCTGATCTCCTTTATCTTTCTCACTCCATCCTTTTCTCTGTCATCTCTCTGTAGCCCCAATTGAAAAAATCAGAAACAACTTTCCGTTAAACGATCTACCGAAAAAAATGAATTTATAAATGAGTTTTGTCTTATAATTTTTGTCTTATCGATTTTGCAATCCAATTTTTCAAAGCAGAAAGATGGGTAGTACTCGAAAAAATCAGAAATACTTAGTTGGTTAAACAATTTCTTTCTTTCTTACAAAAAATGATTTTATAAGGAGTTTTTTATTTTTTATAATTTTTGTCTTATCTAATTTTATCTAATTTTTCATTCACAAGCATAATGACAGGGACTTGGCCTTGAAAAATCAGAAATCCTCGTGTTAACAATGTTCTTACAAAAAATGACTTTATAATGAGTTTTCATTTTATAATTGTCATTGGCCTGGAGGGTTTTTTTAGAAATGATGATTCAACATATGCAGATGATGAAATGTTATTTAAGCTTATACGCTTTTATTTTTACTATATTAATTATATGAAATATGGATAATTTTTAAATGCATTAGTAACTTTGATTTATTAAGAAACCTTGTTAACATTATTTAATTTTTCTAAAAAAATTATCAGATACTCAAAACAAAAAGTCGCTATATATATATGATGAATCTAAAATTTATTGAAGTTTTTCATTTTGTTTTTGGGGATAAATAGAAAGTTGAGTTACTTTTTTCTTCTATGATATTTTTATTTTTCAAGTTAAGCCGTGTCTGTGTGAGATTGAACATAACAAAATATCATTGAACATTTTTAAAAACGAAATTTCATTTTTAATAAAATGTTAAAGAAAAGTACAGGGACAAGAAAAAGAAAAAAAAAAAGAAAAGAAATATGAAGATGACTGGTTAATAAATTCACGGTATAAAAATCCGAAGTTAATTATATTTCAATGGTCTATATGCCAGTTGGCATGGCATGTTTTTTTTTTTTTTTAATGTCACCATAAGTTCCTTTTTTTTTCCAAAATTTTAAATAGATCCCTTTTCTTTTCGACGTATCAATTTAGTCTTTTTTATTGTTAATTTGATTCAATTACAGGTCTGCCGTCAAATTCAGCAAACGGTCGTTAATCTAATAACGGTCTAACATCCGACTATACACGAGGATATCATCGAAAAAAACTAGTACAAATCGCCTGAGGAAGGGCTGCAGCAGGTTGTTCATGACGTTCTGGAAGTTGCTGGGGCGTTGGTGAGCCCGAAGGGCATCACCAAAAATTCGGAGTGACCCTGATGGGTGCAGAACGCCGTTTTCGAGATATCTTCCTCTCCCATTCGGATTTGATGATACCCGGCCTTCAAATCTATCTTAGAAAAGTATTTGGCGCCATGCAGCTCGTCCAACAATCCTCTATCACAGTAATACTTAAATGTGCATGACATGGTGAACATACAATGGATTTTTTTGTTTAAAAAAATTAAGAAGAGAGTTGATTAATCAGATGCGACGAGGCAAAGGTGAAAATTAAAAATTAGAGGGCTTCTGTGTGCCTTTGGCACGGAGCTTGGAAGGGAAGCTGGAGAGCTTGGAGAGCTCGTCAATGGCGACACGTAGCGAGAGCTTGAAGAGGAGCTCCGGGTCGGTTGTGTTGGATTCCGACAACGAGGATATGGTGGAAAAATTAAAAATTTTTAGGGCTGTCCACCTTTAATTGGGGGAAAATATTGGGGGAAAAGGGTTGTTATTATTACTGTTCATGTGAAGGGGAAAAATCGGCGTGTATGTTCGATTGCCATTGCATATGAGGTGGTAGAAGGAGAAAACCCTTGATTTTTTGTTCTTCTATCATTAATATTCTTCTGCTCTTTGCTGCTTACTTACCCCTTCTTCTAATGTCTAGAGTGACTCTTTCTACCATTTTCTTTTCTTGTACGTGGATTTCTGCTAATAGGGTTAGTCGGAAAGGAAAAAGAGGAAAACTTTTTTGGATTTTGAAGTCTCTGGTTTCATGTTTGTTTCTAAAGTATAGCTTGTGAGGTTTTTTCTTTTTATGAGTGGAGCGGGTGCGGGACGGGTTTTCAACTTATCAAAGATTCCAAGAACGAGCCTTCCAATCACGGTTTTGGAGAAAAGATGGGAAAGTTTTGTATTGATCTTTTGTGTGCAGATAACCACTTTTGCCGTTACCCATTTAAGTTGAAAGTCTTAATTCACATCAATTGGTGTTTATGATTGATAAAAGCTATTAAAGTGAAAAAATTGATTTTTTGATAACGTCTTAACACTATTGTTGTTTCTGCAGTTGTTTACTCCAAATTTTTGGCCAAAGGAACATAGTTGGAAAAGAAAGTCTCCAGAAAATGAAGACTTGTTTACACTTGAATGACTTTCCTCTGGATGACCTTAATGAAGATCTCTTAGAGAGGGTGCTTTCATGGCTACCAACTTCCTCCTTCTTCCGCCATACTTCTGTCTGTAAGAGATGGAAGTCAGCTGCTGCTTCTGTGAGTTTCAAGCTTGCCTACACATAGAAGCCCTAAAAATTTTTAATTTTTCCACCTTTGCCCTTCACTCCATCTGATATCACCTCTCTCCTTAATTTTTTTTTAAAACA